AAATAATATTATAAATACTATTCTTAGAATACTAAATATAATTATTTAAAATATATTTATAAATGACATAGAAATAAGTATAAATATTAAAAATAAACAAAAACAATATTATAAACAGTATTCTAAGAATTATAAATATAAAAATAATATTTTAAGATATAATTATGTTATATGATAATATAATCATAAATATTAGAAATAAGAAGATATTACAAATAATCTGATGATGATAATTATAAATATTATCATCATTTATTCTTAATTATTTTCTATTTTATATAATATATTATGTAATATATGACATCATTTTATTATATAATGTATATTATTTATTATATAATGATGTCTAACCAATGCATAATATATAAGATATAAAGTATTAGAAATATGTATAATAAATATAACAAATATAATATGATAGATACGATATGATTAAATATGACACAATTAGACACAATTAATTAGACACAATTAATTAGACGATTAATTAGACAATTAATAAGATGAGATATAACATTATATGACAATATATAATATTTTATGATGAGAAATAAAATAACATAACATAACATAACATAACATAACATAACATAACATAACATAACATAACATAACATAACATAACATAACATAACATAACATAACATAATATATTTAGGACTATATGACACGTATTACAATTAAAAAATAAATATATCCAAACTAGACTTAAAAAAATATCTCAATCTACAATATTGACGGAATCAATTCGAATTTAATTTAAATTTAATTAATTCAGTTTCATTTCATTCAATTGAATTAATTCCAATTCAATTCATTCCATTAAATTCTTCCATTAATTTCATTCTATTCATTTCATTCCATTCATTCAATTAATTAACTTCAGTTTAATTCATTCAATTCACTTCAGTTCAATTCAATTCAACTTAATTCAACTTAATTCAATGTACTTCAATTTAATTCAATTTAATTCAATTTAATTTAACTTTATTCAATGTACTTCAATTTAATTCAATTTAATTCAACTTTATTCAATGTACTTCAACTTAATTCAACTCAACTCACTTCAATTCAACTTAACTCAACTCAACTTAATTCAATGTACTTCTCTTCAATTTAATTCAACTTAATTCAACTTAATTCAACTTAATTCAACTTAATTCAGTTTAAGTCAACTCAACTTAACTTAATTCACTTCAATTCAACTTAACTCAACTCAATTCACTTCAATTCAACTCAATTCACTTCAATTCAACTTAATTCAACTTAACTCAACTCAACTCAACTTAATTCACTTTAATTCAACTTAACTCAACTCAACTTAACTCAACTCAACTCAACTCAACTCAACTTAACTCAACTTAACTCAACTTAACTCAACTTAACTCAACTTAACTCAACTCAACTCAACTTAATTCAACTTAACTCAACTTAACTCAACTCAACTTAACTCAACTTAACTCAACTTAACTTAATTCAACTCAACTCAACTCAACTCAACTTAATTCAACTCAATTCACTTCAATTTAATTCAGCTTGTCAATTTAATTCAACTTAATTCAACTTAATTCACCTTAATTCACCTTAATTCAGTTTAATTCAACTTAACTCAACTTAATTCCATTTCTGGTTTCACCCCGCGGGTTTCTGGGTCTTTCCCGGCCTTTTGCCGCCCCCTCGTGGCCTTTTTCCGCTCCTACAAGGGGCGGAATTTGCAGCTTTTTCCGGGTGATTTTTTTCCCCACCCACCTCGGAATTTCTTCAGGACTTTTTCCAGGACGACGGTTTTGAGGGAAAAATCGCAAACGGGCATTTTCATGTCGGTGCAAACGGGGATGGGTTTGGGGCAGGTCAGGTCATCGCTCCTGGAAATGGGGGGGAAATGGGGGGGGAAATGGGGGGGAAATGAGGGTGGAAATGAGGGGGGAAATG